AGATTAGGTTGGTATATGTACCAAAGCATATCTATCTATCTATCTATCTATCTATCTATCTATCTATCTATCTATCTATCTATCTATCTATCTATCTATGATTATGGATTCCAAAGAAAAACAATTACCAACCTAATCCAAAGGGAGACTCCCCCCCCCAAGAACCGAGACACAGAACAGGACAACGGCATCACCCTTCTCCCTTACATCAAAGGCACCACAGATAAAATCAGCAAAATTATCCACAAGCACAATATCAAGACAGCCTTCAGCACTGATAAAAAAATAGCCAACATCTTAAGAAACCCAAAGACAAGATCCAACTAGAAAACCAAGGAGTAACTCACACAAACACGAAGCCGAAAACACCAACCTGAAGATGGCAAGTGGGACCTCGCCAAAACGTTGCCCAGACAATCTCAATCTTACACGGGAAAAGACCCGAATACAACAAGACCAGCATACCTACACCTGTGAAAATCTATGAAAATATATAATATGATGTACATACATATACACACACAGAGACATACACACTACCCTCAACTTTAAATACAATGTAAAACTCCACCTTCAGCAAAAAATTAAGCTCTGCCTCTCACCCTCTTTCATATACGCTCTCACAGAGACAAAGTGCAAAAATGATTGACTATCTACATCTTCCTTTCATGGGACACAAATGTTCATGTAAATATTGATACAAAGATTTCTAACTCTACTTTTTACCCTCAACTTTTGAACTCTCTCTCTTTTACTACTTTTACCAGCTGTAACTTATCAACTAGGAAAGAGTTGATAAGTCTATTTTTGCCAGTATTAAGGACAAAGAACTATAAAAGTAGTAAGTTTGTGAGAGAATCTACATGAGATTGTAAAGCAATCTTGGAAGTGCTGTATCTTTTGTAAATCTGATGCTGAGTTAATAAATTGCTCTTGCTTCCCACTTATATAATGGTTTCCCAAGAGTAGCTAAGTGGATCCCTATTATAGGCTTTGTTCAGCGCTGGTAAAGATCTTTTCTTTTCCCCACACATTTTGAAAAATTCTTTATTGTACTGCTGGAATCTCCATTTTACTTCAAGTATTTACAGTACAGTGATTTTACATGCTGCCTTATTATTGCTGTTGTTGAGTTTGACTGCTGCATTAGTCTCCAAGTCAATATTACCATAATTTCTACATTGTATAGTATGTTTCTCACTGATTTGTGCACTATCCAGAGACTTGAATTTATTGAGTAGTTTAGAAGTATAGTAGACGAATAAGCAGGAACCGATTAAATAGTTAGAATGGGTTTCTGTTTCACATAAAAGCATTCTATTGGTGAAATGACTTCTAACAATGCCACCTGAGACACTAGATATGTGCTGGTATTTCACTAGCCAGGTTGCTAGCTTCTGCAGATCATATCTGAAACCAAACTTGGCAACAGATGTTACATCTTTATATCCTGCCTGTGTTCAACAGAGCAGAATTACCCATAATCAGTCATCACTAAATGCCATGTAAGTGATAACTTTCCTCCCTTTTTAAATTATTTGGATGTTTATAAATTTCTGTTGCCTCTCTAATAATTCTGGGAAAACAGATGTCACACCTCATGCCAGGATGCTGATATTCTGAGTTTTATGATTTGTTGTCCCTTGTCAATAGACTTCAGCCAAAACTGATATTCCTGTTTTTAAGCCTAATGTTCCCTTAAAATTATTTCTGCATGTTATGGAGCATCGAGTTTCTCTAATGTAACCATCCCCAGACTTACAATTTTATTTTATACATTCCCTTAGCTTTTAGTTTCAGGAGTTTATATTTATTAGCAGTTATGTCTTATGCATCATCTTATATTTTGTCCTATACATTTTTTCATATTGTTACATTTAAAGAAATGCACACTGCTCATAACATTAGAAATAATATTCTTTATCTTGTGTTTATACCTAAGCATAGTCAGATAGTTGCCAGGTGTTTTTTTTTTTTAAATTCCAACTCAGAATGAACTTGGTAAGGAAAAAATATATACTACAATACTACAAACTGTTATGTTTCTGGGGATGTTCTCTGTGTATATGTGTTTATGTCTGTATGTTGTTATTTTGTTTATTATATATTCATTAATCAGAAAGGCAATAGAAGGTGCTGATTTGGTGGGGTGACAAATAATGCAAACTGATAATTTAAGCATGGTTATTTGTGCCTCAAATGAAAACTCTGGATTGATTTGTTCACTAATTCATCAGTTTGTTTTCTTGACTCTGCATGGTATTGTCAAAAGTTTTCTACAATACCAGAGTTCAAAGGCATCAATATTGCTTTTATTCTGTTTCTTTACAGTCCAACTTTTGCTTCCATAGAGTGTCACACAGACTACCATGGCTTGCACGATTCTGATCTGTTTAGGTATAGACACATCACAGCATTTGAATATCTTTTCCGAGGATATGATGGCTGCTTCATTAAGTGCTAGTCAGCAGCACATTTCTTGTCCACTTGTTCCTTTATTCACTGATTCTAAAAGACAGAAGATAATCTACCACTTCAATATCTTTATTGCCAATTCTAAGGCTGGGTTGTCCTATCTGTTCTCATTAGTTTGGTCTTCTTATATTTAATTTTATTCCCATTTCCCACTGTGGTATAACTGTGACTGTAAACTGTTCAGATCATGAAGTCAGTCCATAAGAACTCCTTTTCTCTGTTTCTGAAAATAGTAAACTATTGGCTTTACCAATCATTCAACAAGAGAGTGTTAAATCTGAATGCCCATTATATCCATAAATATTAAAATTACATCATTTGTGTTTAGTTGCATCATATTCATAGATCTATGGACTACTTCAGATATAATGGATCTTGGTGAAATGTCCAGAATATTTTGTCTATTGTTTCTAAAGTCCACTTACCATAATTACCCCAATTATGGTAATACTGTTATACCGAATATTTAATGTATTAGTAAAAAATTTACATCTAGCTGTAAGCATATAATATTCTTTCTGCCCAAATAGAAACCCAATCAGTGGCAGATTGGCATTGTCCTGCATAATTTTCTGATGTTTGGCATCTGTTCATTGATTATGAAATTAAAAGACTATTCTGAGTGATTTTAAACAAATACATTTTTGGTTGGCATCTTAACTCTACCCATAGATTACCATAGAATGTAGAATGTCATGTAGTCTTGATACCATTCAGATTATTCATCTACCTTGTGTATTTTCCCTAATGGCAGGAAAGAAAAAGCAATTCCCTATAGATGTTTCTACCATCGGATCCAAGGAAACAATCAAGCTGCCAACAAACCAGAGAAGAGGACCCATACAACTCTTAAGCACACTCACTCATCATAAATCACTAAAGAGAAATACCTTTCAGAAGAAATGGAAGAAACAAGATATCAGCACTTTTTACATTTAAAATGGATGATTATAATCAATCCTCCTTCTAGCCAATTATTTTTATGAAAGGGAGGCAAAATGTTTTTCTTAGAAATGTTACTCTTGACGTATTATTCACTGGTTTATCACGTCTTATTTCTCAAAAACAAGCTATTAAATACATTCTTATTCAGCCATGTGGAATGTTTAACATAAAAATGCAAATAGAAAATTTTGCCCTACCATATTTTGAAGAACAAAGTCCTATAATGTACTGAATCCCAAAGAAACAAGGGGGAGCTTTTGCTGCATGATTTCTACATTTATTATTTTTTAAGACAAAGTATCATTTGCAAGGATTGTAGGTTAAAATATGTAATGTACATGGATGGAGTATTGTGCAATTTAATGTTTGGATATTGTAATACTCCTTGAAATGGTTTTCTATTATTTTAATAGTTTTTGTTTAATTGAAATTGCATGTGTATGGCAAGACTTTATTCCTACTTGTAACTATCTTAAGACATTCTAATCTAAAACAATTATCTCCATCCTCAAGGCATATTGTGGCTACAACTTCAAGAATTTGGCTAGGTTGGCTAGGAAATTCTGATAGATTAGTACAAATGCATCTGAAGGGCATCAGATTGGAGAAGATTGTTGCAAAGGGAACTGAATTTGACCACAGTAAAATATATATGCAATAGCATACTAAATAATCCATGTATTACTATCCCTTTATTGCTTGTATAAATAAATCGTAGTATTAAAGCAGAAAATATAAGAACATTGTAAAAGAATAATCAGAATAAATGAAATTTGAGCCATTTAAGTAAAAGAAAAATACAGTCCAGTATGTTTGATATTTACATTTGTTTACTAAATAAAACTTCAGCTGAGATTGTCAGGAGGCAATCAGTTAGTTATTTCATGGGGCAAAGGATCCAAGGAGTCAAAATCTTATTGCCTTCACTTCCTTCTCATCTGAGCAGCTATTTGATTGATGGTCACATTTTTTATTAGGATTATGCACACAAATCTGGCAATCAGAACAAGGGGAACTGATATGCAATATTCAGTTGTATGTCCTTATCTATTTACAAATAAGTACATAATCCAGTGTCCAGGCTATCATTGAATATAAGCATATGTGCAAGAAGAGTGGTAGACTGCAAAAGGAAAAAAACAAGAAATATGAAGACTTTGTTGAAAACCAATATAAATTCCATATGGTTAGAATTTCAAAGCTGTTAAATTGTATGCAATTTCAAGGAAGGATAAGTCCTAAAATGTAGAAAGTAAGCATTATATTTTTCTGGTCCTATAGGCTGATTAATCACTAACAGATGTTTTGATAATAAAAATGATTTAAGATAGATGGAGAAGAAATAAGATATCCTGTTGGTTAATTGCTCCTAGTTGAGCTTAGTGTCTTGTGTTGGGTTCTGAAAGGCTTCAGATGCATATTTTTAATTTATTTATAGGATGAACAATAGCGATTCAAATTTTATATTGAAACCAAATGTTTACAAAAGTTGTAGATTTGAATAGATTTGTGTTATGTTATAAAGTAGGCTGAGTAAACACTGGGAATTTGCTTTTGGAGCATTAAATAAATAATTGAATGAAAGATTGCTTGTATTTACTTCCTAATTTTGTTTACTGTCTATATTTCTTTATTGGTTCAGAGTTCTTAAAAGAGACAATAATTTGCTAGCATTTTCACAGATTTTCTTATCCTTGTCTTCAACTACATTTTGAATGGAAATGCTGACAAACCTCCTTCCATTGCCCTTCGTCCCAATACATATATAATTGCTTAAAGCAATTTTAGTTTAGTATGCTTAAACCAGATTACATAGTTCCTCTTTTTCAAGCTGTTGGTTGCCATCACCTACCTCCTTGAGGTTGACATATTATCTAAATCCAGATACATATTTAAAATATGCTAGGCATAATTTGCTTAATAGAAGCAGAATGTTTGGTAGAAATGTTTGGAGAAACTCATGGTCACTCATGTCCTAGTCACTTCTTGTCTTGACTATTGCAACACGCTCTACATGGGGCTGCCCTTGAAGAGCATCTAGAAGCTCCAGTTGGTGCAAAATGCAGAGGTCCATATGGTTTTGGGCAGACCTTGGTGTGCACATGTATCACCTTTCCTGTGGAAACTGCATTGGTAGCTGATTTGTTTCCAGGTGCAATTCAAGGTGCTGGTTGTCTCTTTTCATGAGGGGTTGAGCACTAGTGGACAATCACTTAAATATGAGCCAGCTGTACACTGTAGCTGCCAAAAAAGCCAACTCAATCCTAGACAAATCGAATTAGGATCATGTGAAGTACTAATATGCTTTATAATGCCTTAGTAAGACCATACTTCAAATATTGCATTCACTTTTGGTCACCACCATCTCAAAAAGAGGTTGTGACTATACAAAGGGGGCAAAGAAGAGCAACAAAGATGAATATGGGGCTGAAGACTAAAACATAGAAAGAACTGTTGCAGGAATTGGGTATGTCTAGTTTAATAAAAGGAGTAGGGGTGACATGATAATAGTGTTCCAATACCTAAGGATCTGCCACAAAGAAGAGGGGATCAACCTATTCTCCAAAGCACCTGGAGGAAGCAATGGAAACTAATCAAGGAGAGAATCAACAAATACTAAGAAGAAATTTCCTAACATAACAATTAGTCAGTGAAATGATTTGTGTCCAGAAGTTGTGATGCTCAACCATGGGAGTTTTAAAGACATGATTGGAGAACTATATGTGTGAAATGACATAGAGTTTCTTACTTCAACAGGGGGTTGGCCTAGAAGACTTTCAAGGTCCCTTCCTACTTTGTTATTATATTATTCTGTTACTGGGGGAAAAACATAAAACTTATTTGCATCCACTACAAAATAAATAACAGTATAGAGGGGGGTTTAACATCATATTTGTGTGTGTGTGTGTGTGTGTGTGTGTGTGTGTGTGTGTGTGTGTGTTTGTGTGTATAATGTTAAAATTTTTCACTATTTGCAGGAATGCTTCTCTATCCAAGATGAAACTTACAAACATACTTAGGGAAAATGATNTTCTTTTCTTTACAAGTTTAATTTGGTTTTAATCTTTTTTGGGCAGTCTCTTTTGTAAAAATAAAATTTCCTCACCAGATGGACACACTTTCTCTCTCTGCTTTCCTCCGGTTGTGGAGCTGTCCCGACTTCAGCAGCTTGGGGCTGCACTTCTATCGCCAGCTAGAAGAGATTCTCTTGGATCAATCAGGGACTTTGTGATGTCCCTGAGATCAGCAAGACGTACTCTTCCCTGTCACCATCTCTTCGGGACAGTTTGGGTCCAGATGGACCACCCAGCAGTAAAAGTATTGGCATCATCGCGATGTTAGCTCCTCCTTCTCTATCTGTAACATTTTAAACTAGTATCTTAGTTTTCTCTTTATTTTCAATCCTGCAACTTCACCATACTCTTCTAGTTTGGGTCCAGTTTCTTGTGGCTGTTCTAGAATAAATACCAAATCATCTGCAAACGCCTGTAATTTGTACTTTTTAAAAATTTCTATGCCTTTTATTTCTGGGTATTGCCTAATGTTTCTGTTTAACACTTCCAATGTTAATATAAATAGTATATATAATCATATTAGTAAATTTTTCACCAAAGTCCATATATTTTAATTGTAGTACCATAAATTGCCAATTTAAATTGTCAAATGCTTTCTGCGCATCTAAAAAGATCAACACCATTTATCCATATTCCTTTCACTTTTATAGTATCCTTCCCAACCAATAGGTTGCTCTATTTCTCCATTTTTACTGCAAGATTTTTTTAAATATCCAAAATGTCTGAGTCTCTCTTTAAAAGTCCATCAAAGCAAAATAGCAATTAAATATATTCAAATATTTTTAGATCAATTGAAATTATTAAAAATAACCAGTCCGTGCTTCTCTTTAAAAATTGTTTTCTCTTCCCCCCCCCCCCGATCTGTCAATAGCTCAAAACCTTAGTCACTTAGTTAGTTAGTTAGTTATTTTGGGGAGTGGGAAACAAAACCCCTGCCTCTTCCTCTCTTGAGTCCCATTCTAAAAAACGGTTGTTAAGGGGGAGGGGGATTCCACAACAGAAGTTAGAAAATTTTCACCCAGATCTGCCATGCTGCTTCTCAGTCAATCTTCATTCCTCCTTCAATCTGGCTGTCCTAGCTGTGGTCTGGCCATAATGGCCATCTTTTTTTCCTGATGATTTGAGGGATTCCCCCAGAACGAGCAAGGAGACTGCCATCTCCTCACAATCTATGGAGTGTTCCCTCTATCTTTGTCACCCCTCTGGGGTGACTTTGGCCCTGTAGGACCTCCTGGTGGGCAGAATTCAGTTGATTTTGTGGAGCCCTGCTAATCCACACCATGTTGCCACAATGTCAGCCAGTCTCTCTGACTGGCTTATTTTATGGCTCAACAGCTGATAATTTTGACATCCAAAAGGTAGAGGAGTGAAGTAGAGGAAAAATTATACTGGCCTAAGACTTACTAATAGATAAGTGATAGAGGGAGTTGCAGTTGCCAGAATCTTGGGTGAGAGTGATCGCATAGAGCCATGATGAACCATGGGATTAGAGGGAGAAGCAAATGAATGGCTAGAAGGATGTCGACAAATTCCTGCAAGAGCTAGAAACCAGTTTCAAGGACATGGGTGAGGAACAGTATGTGGAGGATGAGTTTCAAAATTTAAAGCAGAGAGGGCGACCCATTAAACAACACATCATGAGTTCAGAAGAGTCATGGGAAAGCCCTGGCCAGAGGAGCTATTAGTTCATTTTTTCAGAGAAAGCCTAGACAAGCAAATTAGCCAAGCCATAATCTATTGGGACATTCCCAACTGACTCAGTTTAGTGGTGTAGGGAAAATTGTAAAAAGGGGAGGTGTCCCAACAAAAGGGAATAAAAAGCAGACAAAAGAGGTTTTGGAGGTTGTTGGTGGCATAAGGAAAATTGAAGTAGGAGATTATGCCCCAACAAAGAGAAATATAAAATATCCTTTTCATGGTGGCCTGGGGAAAATT